GTGCCTCGAGGTGGCTCTGTTGGTTAAGAGTCCCACTCTTGGTTTCAGCCCAGGTCAATGATCTCATGGTTCGTGAGTTCAGGCCCAGCATCAGGCTCCATTGTGACAATGCAAAGCCTGCTTGGGATTCTCATTCATATTCTCTCTCTCTCTCTGCACCCCACCCCCCACTCACGCTGTCACTCTCTAAGCTTTAAAAAAAAATGCTCAATATCACCGATCACTAGGGAAATGCCAATAAAAACCATGACATACCACGTCAGACCTACCCACTACAAGAACTATAATCAAAAAGACAGACAATAACAAGTGTTGGCAAGGAGGTGAAGAAACGAATCCTCCTATGTTGCTGGTGGGAATGCAAAATACTGCAGCTAATTTGGAAAACAGTTTGACAGTTCCTCAAAAAGTTAAAAGTTTTCGCATGACCCAAGAAAAGTGAAAACAAATGTTCATAGCAACATAATTCATAATAGGCAAAATGGGCAAACAACTCAAATGCCCATCAACTGACAAACGATAAACACAGTATGTCCACACAATGCAATATTATTTAGCCATAAAAAAGAAAAGTGAGGGGCACCTGGGTGGCTCAGTCAGTTGAGCATCTGACCTCGGCTCAGGTCATGATCTCATAGTTCACGAGTTTGAGCCCCACATCGGGCTCTGTGCTGACTGCTCAGAGCCTGGAGCCTGCTTCAGATTCTGTCTCTCCCTCTCTCTCTGCCTCTGCCCTGCTCATGCTCATGCTCTGTCTCAAATATAAATAAACATTAAAAAAAATTAAATAAGTGCTGATACAAGCTACAACATGAATGAATCTTGAAAACATGCTAAGAAGCCAGACACAAAAGGCTATGTATTGTATGATTACATTTATATTTAATGTCCAGAATCGGCAAATCCACAGAAACAGATAGACTGGGGGATGCCAATGGCTGAGGCACAGGACAAATGGAAAATGACTGCTAATGGGTATGGGTGTTCTTTTTTGGGTATTGAAAAGTGTTCTGGAATTAGTGATGTTTGCACAATGTAGTGAATAAACTAAATTCATTGAACTGTATACTTTAAAAGAATGAATTTTATGGTACATAAATTATATGTCAATTGAAAACAAAATTCAGGGTATGAGCCACTGTACTTGGGATACTTCCTGCAGACAAGAGACAATCAATAAAATGAGCTAATAATTCACTCTGGAATAATCCCCAAAGCAATGTGCAACTGTAAGGAATAGTAAAAAGATTTTTTAAATATTCACAAAGAGTAAAAGATAATTTGGAGGTTAGTGATGGTAAATTTTTAACTTGAAACTACAAAAACAACAGCTTTGTTTATTCACATCTATCCAATGTCCAGATTCCATATAGCATATGGGTAGACATAAAAGAATTAAGAATCAACAGAAGGGCGCAGTGGCTCGGTTGGTTGAGTGTCCGACTTCGGTTGGGGTCATGATCTCACAGATCCTGAGTTTGAGCCCCGCGTCGGCTCTGTGCTGACAGCTCAGAGCCTGCTTCGGATTCTGTGTCTCCCTCTCTCTGCCCCTCCCCCGCTCATGCTCTGTCTCTGTCTCTCTCTCTGAGATAAAAAAAAAAAAACATTAAAAATTTAAAAAAAAAAAAAAAAAGAGAAGTTCTGAGGCATATCAAAACAAATCAAACCCCTTTGCTGAGCTTCACAGCCAGTTTGCAAACCAGGAAAGAAAATCAATCTTGTTATTTCACATACACCTTTATTTGCCACAAAAAAACACTTTTCAACTGTTTCCAAATACCAAATGCACCCTCTAAGGATGAAAATTTGTCAATAGTAAGGATATTCAAAGCATACACACACCACTGGTTTCAGGCAATTCCAAAAATAGGTTTTGTGTGATGAAATAAAGTATAGCCTCCAAATGAGTTTATGCAGAAGACACTGTTTTGGATAACAATATCATCCCTGTTAAGGTGATTTAAAAAACAATATAGTTGTTTTATAGTCATTGGTGAGTTCCACAATGGAATCCTCAAATAAAGGAAACATTCCTCCTCTGAGCTAAGGACAGAAATGTATTATAAACCCCAAGGTGCCTAACAAAGAGACCCCACTTTAACCTGCAGTAGAAAACCTTACACCCTACCTTTGCAAAACTATCACCTATACATCCGCTACATGAATCACAGACTGTAGTTTAAATAGACTTAAACAGTTTAAATTCATTCTCATCCTTTGCCATTTTTACTTGTTTCTCATGAAAGAAATGCCCGTCACATCAAAATGAAGCAAAAATTTGCCACCTTCTTCATAAAGCCTTCCTATATCATCTCAAGAGATTTCTTTCACTTCTAAACACTCATAGAACTTTCTTGCGCAACAATATGGTATATTTTGCCTTGTACTATTATTGAATACACCAGATCTTCTCTATGTACTAAAAGCTCCTGAAGGTCAGGGTAGCTTACCCAATACTTTTGTCTACCCAGTGTCAGGTACAAATTTAAATCAAGTAAGTACTCACCTAACTGCCTTTCATTCCTAAAAACAGCATTAATACAAGCAGCTACAGAATTAGGTGGGTGCTTGGAAGTGGCAAGTCCCCACACATGATGAATGCTTAATTCTCTGAAAGAAATTACAAGTCATCCAGTGTAGCCCCATAAGGCTAAAAAATGTTTTTTAAATGCCATTATTCAGACACTTCCTAGAACTAACTGCTCCAGCTACAAGCACATTTGAGGGAATCAGAACAATTTGAAATGACTGTGTAAGTTAAAAAAACTTACTATGCTATCCTTTTTCAGCCAAGCCAGAGCTAACCTGAAATCAACAAAACTTTCCCTACACTTGGAAGAGCTTTTTGAGAATACAGCAAGGATGAGGAGCAGCCAAGCAATAGTTTACAACACACCAAGCAGCAGAGAGAACCTCAATCTTCCTGGAATATGGACTACCAAAGTCCCAGAGGACATCTCAATAATCACCTGGTTACCAAATACCCATTTTGATCATAATCACTGTCTGAAACTGCTACTAATTCCAATACAAGTGAAACCTAATAATAGAAACAAAACACCTCCACAATCCCAATGCATCCCACCAAACAGCCCCCCAAAATAGAAGAATTTGATTTTGGAAATAAATGAGAATTCATTTTTAACCCAAAGACTGCTACCAATTAAATAACATTTAGAAACCAAATGACCCTAAAGCACTAAGACAATCAGTCAACAGAATCACATAGAAGGTTAACTGTTCAGAACCAATCTCATTAAAATAAACGAGTAAACGAGGAATTATTACATTTGCTAGTGACAAAGTAGTTGCCTTTTGCACTAAGAATCACTGCTGGCCTTTTTAAGTATAGAAAGTTAACACTACAATTGATTTACTTAGAATGCTTCTCTTAAAGAAATTACATATAATAAAAAAGAAAGTATGAATCCCAATTAATTGATTTTAGCTGGGAGACTATCAACTGTGTATTACTGCTCTGCACTCTGGACTTTAAATACCTCCTGAACTTTAATCCAAGTGGAAATTTGGATTTAAAACTATGCTTTAAGAAACAGGATGACCAGATTAAAATCCTCCTTCAAAAAATGAATCAAAATTTGATATTCAATTCAGATATTTACCAGACTTTATTAGTCATTGAAGGAAAAAAAAAAAAAAAGATGCTGTCAAGCAGCAGTAAGTAACCACAAACACTAGCAAGGACGGATAAAAAGGGAGCCTGAGGCAGAAGGCAAGGATTCAAAGCAAACAGAATTAGAATAAGATAAACAACTCATTAAAACCATCTTAACTAACAGTAACTTTTAAAACAGTAATCTTTTAAAACCTAAAAAGCCCCACTGAAAAAAAAATCATGAAAAAAGTGAAACAAAAACATGAAAAAGTCTTCAAAATGATTTCAGTATATTCACAATTCTGAAAATTCATTAATTTCACGCTTCTCAAAAGCCACATGCCTTTCATATGATGGTTACAACTAATAAGTAATTCATAAAGTGCTTAATCTGACATGAAATTTTAGCAAACGTATGACAGGTCTGAAAAAACACAAGCAGAGACAGAATAGAATAAATGATAAATGACAACCAAAAGGCTTTCTAGAGGGCAGAGGTAGGTTTGGATTGGTAGAAAGAAAATTTTAAAATATATCCACAAGTCAAATTATACCAAAAAATTGATTCGTGCCTTTATTACTTACACAGGCACGTTTTAAGATGTACTTTTAACCTGTGGACAACCAAAGTGGTATCAGATACCTTAAAGCATTACCTATGTTAATTTTGATGTTAGTCTAAATCCTTAACAAAATTCACATTATCTTTATAATGAAACACTGCAGAGATGGAAGGGCTTACATTCCCTAGGTAAAGGTTACCTTACGTTTCACTTAAAGTTTCAGTTTTGCTTTTTAATCTATTACAGAAAACATCTCTTATGGGACACTGTAAAGGACATACCCTCCTGTCAAGCCAGAAAGCTCAAACACAAAGACACTGAGCTAACCAAGTGCTGTAATTCTTCCAAACTGAGCCTCTCCACACCCCCTCTACCCTTCCCCCCAACAGATATGTCTATTAAATCAGTGTCTGTTCTCCCCCTCGCACAACAAAGAGAACTTCTCACCGCATGAAATTGCCGCTGAATGGACACCAGAAAGCAGGATTTGCATAATTCCTTCCAACGAAACCCTGTCGGGAAGGAGGGGATGAGGGGCCCGAGCGAACGGACAAAATCTCCTAGATTCTGCTGTTGGAAGACCTGGTTCCCAAGAATATTCCCCACGGGGGGAGAGGGGGAGGAAGGGGCTGGAATTCTGCGCCTCCCCGAGAACTGGGCCTGGGGGACGGAAAAGCACGAGAGAGCATTTCCCCACACAGCAGCAGCACAGAAGCAAAGATGGGGAAATAACAATGCTGGAGGACAGGAGAGTCAGACACAAGGATGGACTGGGGCTAGGGGGCGGCGGGCGGAGCGGAGACACCACACGGGCCACTTACTTTTTGGAGGGGGGTTAAATATATGAGTTAAGCCCTTATGGTCCCGCCGGCCGCCGCACAGAGGGAAACGGGACCTTGGGAGAGAAAAACAGACAAAACACACAGTGTGAGAGGCGCAGCTCGGCCGCCCGGCCCCTCCCGGGGCGCCCCCGTCCACACTCCCTCCTGCCCGTGGGGGAAAAAGCCACCCGAGGCCCGGGAGGCAGGGGGAGGGGGGGTGCGGCGAGGCTCTCGGCGAGGCGGCGGCTCCGGTAAATCCCCTAAGGGGACAAGAGCGACCCCCGCTCCAGCTTCCCGGTCGGACCCGGTCCCACCCCCTTCCTCCCCGCCGCGCACACACCGAACACAAATACACACACACCGACCCGAGCGTCGAGGATTAACTCCCCGGCCGCCGCCGCCGCCGCCGCCCGCAGAGGAAGTGCAGCCGCTGCCCCCCGCGGCCATGACACCCTACTTGGCTCGGTCAGGCGGACCCGGGGCCTGTGACAGCTCCGGCTCCCTCCGCCCCCATCTCCACCTCACGCCTCGCACACGCCCGAGCGCCGGGCGCCCGCCCGCCCGCCGCCGCGCGTGCACGCGGGGAGTGGGGCGCGCGCCGCCGTGCGTGGGGGAGGGGAAGCGCAGGAGGGGTAAGGCGCCGGCCAGAGCGGAGAAGGGGGCTGAGCCAGGGCCCAGCACGCCCCCGCCCCCCCCACCCCGCGCGCCCGGCTCCGCAGGACCGGAGGCGGCGCCCCCAGTCAAGCGGCAGCGCCGCGGGGCGAGTCTCCACAATAAGCCGTCGGCGGCGCCGGGCCGCCGGGCGGGGAAAAGGGGAGGCGGGGGAGGGAGGGGGCACGCGCTCCCGCCCGAGTGCCCGCCCCGGGGAAGGCGCGCGGAGGGGAGGGGCTGGCGCGCGCGCTCAGACCCGAGCGGGGGAGAGCCCGCCCGGAGGTCGCGCGCGCCCGCACTCCGGGGGGTGGGGGAGGGGGACGCCCGAGCCAAAGAGGGCGGGCGGGCCGGAGCAGCAATTCCTTCTGTCCCGGCTCCCTCCCTTGTCCGGGGCAGTCGGTGGCGTGGCGGCCCGAGGGCCGGAGGCGGCAGGGGGAGGGTCTCACCTACACAGTGAATGAGCTTGTGGCGCCACGAGTCCAGTTCTTGCCGAAAGCCGCGTCTCTCAACGGAGCATTGCTGCCGCCTACACACCCTCGCCATCTTCTGCCGCCCGCCCGGCCCTGCCTCCGCCGCGGCCCCGCGCACGCCCAGCCGCGTCGCCCGGGGCCGCGCAC